GCTAATTGTCCTGCTCCCGGCTGTGACAGGTGACATTGTGTCCCATTGTTCCTGGCTGAGCTGACAGATCCCAAATTCACGCCCTCGCCCCTCTTCTGGGCACTGTTCCCGATTCCCAACCCCAAATCCCAAAATATTGGAAGCCACCCACAAAATCAGGGATTTAATTCCCCACCCCTGCCCAGGACAATCCTGGAGCTCCAACAGCCTCGGGGATGCTCCTCAGGGAAGGAGCTTTGACAATGCTCAGCTGGGATAAACAACACAAAAAAAAACAGCTGGAAATTGGGAATTTCTCACCGGGATCACCAGGAACTCAACCAGAGTCACCTCAGGTATCTGCTTCCCTTCTCCATGCTGGTTTAAAGGAACTTCACACACACAAAACTCACATAAAATTCTCCAAAAAGGTACAAAGAGGACGAGCTCCTTCCCCTCAGCCTCAGATTCTAAACCAGTTTAGAATAAGTAGAAAATCTGAATTATTTTATCCATAGAAGGAGAAACCTCCTTTGGGAAGCTCGCCTTGCTTCCCTGCCAGAATCTGGGAGCGAATATCACCTGTGTCACCTATTATTTATAGACCCATGGAATGGTTTAGGCGGGAAGAAATCTTAAATCCAAATAATTCCACCTCCTGCCATGTGCAGGGACAGCTTTCACCATCCCAGGATGCTCCAACCTGGCACTTCCAGGGATCCAGGGGCAGCCACAGCTTCCCTGGGCACCTGTGCCAGGGCTCAGCACCTCACAGGGAAGGATTTTTTTCTTGAATTCCTAAATTCTAGAGGATTTCTGCTCTTCCTCTGCCTTGCAGGATCCTCCTCTGGGATCCTGGATGATCCCAGGAGCAGAATAAGAGCCAAACACTTGGAAGGTGGGGTTGTGTTCCAAGGAGAGGCTGGAATGCCAAGAGGGAACTCAAATTCAAAAAGGTTCCTCTAAGTGCAAGGAAAACTGGGAAACAGCCATGGAATTCCAGCAGGAATTCAGATGGGAGGAAGGGTGAGCTGTGGGAGAACCCCCTCAGAATTAGGGGGATTCCTCACTGCTCTTCCAGCAGGACAACCCCAAAAACCAGGAAAACAGCAGGCAGACTTTGCTCCCAGGTGGAGCAGAAGAGCAGTTGTTAATTTAAAAAGAGAATTATCAACGTCACGCAGCTCCTGCTCCTCCTCAGGAGGAGTTTGCCACGTTAAACTGAAGCACAAGGGGATTTTTTTCCATACAAACATAATTTTATAGGATCACAGGATGGTTTGGGGTGGGAGGGATATCAAAGACACCCAGTGCCACCCCTGCCATGGGCAGGGACATCTCCCACTGTCCCAGGCTGCTCCAAGCCCTGTCCAACCTGGAACTTCTCCAGGGGCAGCCACAGTTTCTCTAGGAAACCTGTGCTGAAAATGATGGAATTACAGGATAGAATTAAGTTGGAAAAGCCTTTTTGAATCACTGATATCCCATTTCTCTACACTACAAAATCACAGGCGCCGCTCACCATCTCCTGCATTATTTACTGCTTGGATTTGGGATGAAAATTAAACCCTGAGGGAAAGAATCCTGGAAAATTCTGAGCTGGGAAAGAGCCATGAGGATCCTGAGCTTCAACAAGAAGCTGAGGTGGGACAGGAGCGTTATGAGTGCCTGGGTTAAGGGGATATGGGAAATTTTGGTAATTAAAGCTTGGCTGCTCCACCCTTGTCACAACCTGTGGATTTGGAGCTAAAATTTCTCTCTACAAAGAGGAAAAATCCCAATTTTCCCCCCAAACTCAGGCATTGCCATGTCAGGAGGAAAAAATCCCCAGGAGAAATAAACCTCCATGGGGCTTCCAAACACTTTTCCAGGGAAACACACCCGAAATCTGATTAAAGCTCTGAATTCAATTTCCTGGTGCACTGAGCAGGGATGGGACTGGCACAGAGCTCCAGGGATTCCCAGTGCCACCATTGCCACTCCCAGGGATTCCCAGTGCCACCATTGCCACTTCCAGGGATTCCCAGTGCCACCTACTCCACTCCCAGGAATTCCCAGTGCCACCATTGCCACTCCCAGGGATTCCCAGTGCCACCATTGCCACTTCCAGGGATTGCCAGTGCCACCCACACCATTCCCAGAGATTCCCAGTGCCACCATTGCCACTTCCAGGGATTCCCAGTGCCACCATTGCCACTTCCAGGGATTGCCAGTGCCACCCACACCATTCCCAGAGATTCCCAGTGCCACCATTGCCACTTCCAGGGATTCCCAGTGCCACCATTGCCACTTCCAGGGATTGCCAGTGCCACCCACACCATTCCCAGAGATTCCCAGTGCCACCATTGCCACTTCCAGGGATTCCCAGTGCCACCATTGCCACTCCCAGGCATTCCCAGTGCCACCATTGTCACTCCCAGGGATTCCCAGTGCCACCATTGCCACTTCCAGGGATTCCCAGTGCCACCATTGCCACTCCCAGGAATTCCCAGTGCCACCATTGCCACTTCCAGGGATTCCCAGTGCCACCATTGCCACTCCCAGGCATTCCCAGTGCCACCTACTCCACTCCCAGGGATTCCCAGTGCCACCATTGCCACTCCCAGGCATTCCCAGTGCCACCATTGCCACTCCCAGGCATTCCCAGTGCCACCTACTCCACTCCCAGGGATTCCCAGTGCCACCATTGCCACTCCCAGGGATTCCCAGTGCCACCTACTCCACTCCCAGGGATTCCCAGTGCCACCATTGCCACTCCCAGGGATTCCCAGTGCCACCATTGCCACTCCCAGGAATTCCCAGTGCCACCATTGCCACTTCCAGGGATTCCCAGTGCCACCATTGCCACTCCCAGGCATTCCCAGTGCCACCTACTCCACTCCCAGGGATTCCCAGTGCCACCATTGCCACTCCCAGGCATTCCCAGTGCCACCATTGTCACTCCCAGGGATTCCCAGTGCCACCATTGCCACTTCCAGGGAATCCCAGTGCCACCATTGCCACTCCCAGGGATTCCCAGTGCCAGTTCAGGAGAGAAATCCTAAATTTCCAATTAAGGTTTGGTCTTTAATGAGTAAAAATAAATCCAGAGTGAGTTTAAGGCTTTTTTGATTCCTCTCCAAGCCCTGAGCACTCCCAGGGCACCCCAAAAGTCCCCCTGGGAAGGGAAATCGGAATCCTGGAGTCATGGAATGGGTTGGAAGTGACCTCAAAGCCCATCCAGTGCCACCCCTGCCATGGCAGGGACACCTCCCACTGTTCCAGGTGGATCCAACCCCAAAGTCCAGCCTGGCCTTGGACATTCCCAGGGATCCAGGGATTCTCTGGGAATTCCATTCCAGCCAGGAAATCCCAGCCCAAGCTCCCCTTTCCCAGTGGGAGCCATTCCCTGGCTCCTGTCCCTCTGTCCCTTGTCCCCAGTCCCTCTCCAGCTCTCCTGGAGCCCCTTTAGGAACTCTGAGCATTCCCTGGATTTTCCCTTCTCCAGGGGAACATTCCCAGAGCAAAAGAGTTCCAGAATCATTTGGGTTCGGGTTGGAGGAACCTTAAATCCCATCTCATCTCATCAACCCCATTCCAGTTCAGGGACACCTTCCACCATCCCAGGTGGATCCAACCCCAAAGTCCAACCTGGCCTTGGACATTCCCAGGGATCCAGGGATTCTCTGGGAATTCCAGCCCAGCCAGGAATTCCTTGCCAAGATCCCAGCCCAATCTCCCCTTTCCCAGTGGGAGCCATTCCCTGTGTCCTGTCCCTCTGTCCCTTGTCCCCAGTCCCTCTGCAGTGCCACACTGGGGACACCCCCCACCCAAACCGAGGTCACCCAGCCGGGGGGACACGGTGTCACCCATGGGATCTCCCAGCAATTCCCATGGAATTTCAGAGTGCTTCAGGCTGAAAATCCCTCCCAGACCATCCAGTCCAACCACTCCCCCTGCAGTGCCAAGGATGTCCCCAAGTGCCACATCCACAGGGCTGGAGGAGGGCTGGAATTCCACCAAAGGAATTTTCCCAACATCCAACCCGAACCTGATTGGGGTTTTTCTGGAGGGAATGAGATTTTGATGGACTGGGGGTTTTTTTGGGTTTTTTTTTGAGGGAATGCATTTTTTTCGAGGGATTGGGTGGTTTTTTTTTGGAGGGAATGAGATTTGGATGGACTGGAGTTTTTGGGAGGGATTGGGGTTTTGGTTTTTTTTTGGAGGGATTGGAGTTTTGAAGGATTTGGGGTTTTTTTGGAGGGATTGGACATTTTGATGGACTGGGGTTTTTGGGAGGGACTGGGGTTTTTTTAGAGGGAATAAGATTTTGATGGACTTGTGTTTTTTTGAGGAAATGCTTTTTTTTTTTTTTGAGGGATTGGGTTTTTTGGAGGGTTTGGAGTTTTGAGGGATTGGGGGGTTTTTAGGAGGGAATAAGATTTTGATGGACCGTTTTTTTGGGGTTTTTTTGTTTGTTTGTTTGTTTGTTTTTTTTGAGGAAATGCATTTTTTGGAGGGATTTGGGTTCTTTTGGAGGGATTGGAGTTTTGAGAGATTGGGGTTTTTGGAGGGAATGAGATTTTGATGGACTGTTTTTTGGGGTTTTTTGGGGTTTTTTTTGAGGGAATGCATTTTTTTTTGGAGGGATTGGGTTTTTTTGAGGGATTGGAGTTTTGAGGGATTGGGGTTTTTTTTGAGGGACTGGAGTTTTGATGGACTGGGTTTTTTTTTTTTGGGAATGCATTTTTTTGGAGGGATTGGGTTGTTTGTTTGGTTTTTTTTTGGAGGGATTGGAGTTTTGAGGGATTGGGGGTTTTTTTGGAGGGAATGAGATTTGGATGGACTCGGTTTTTGGGAGGGATTGGGGTTTTTTTGGAGGGAATGAGATTTTGATGGACTGGGGTTTTGGGGAGGGATTGGGGCTTTTTTTTTTTTTTTGAGGGAATGAGATTTTGATGGACTGGGGTTTTTGGGAGGGATTTGTTTTCTTTTGGAGGGAATGAGATTTTGATGGACTGGGATTTTTTGGAGGGAATGAGATTTTGATGGACTGCGGTTTGATGGCACAATTAAAGCCGTCCCTTCTCACCCTATCCCTTCTCCCTGGCGGTTCCACCCTCCCGTGGAGAACCACGAGGTCTGTCCCGGTGGGATTTCGCTCTTTTCCCCTCGGGATTTCATTCCAGGTGCGGCGCTAGGACCCGGCGCTGGAGCCTGCGCCCTGCTCGGCAGCACCGCGGCACCGCAGCCCCCGCAGCCGCCTCCCTCCTTCCCTCCCTCCTTCCTTCCCTGCCGACCCTTCGGGATCATCCCGCCGCATTCCCGGTCCTTTCCGCCCTGGGATCGCCGCTCCGGAGCCGCAGCAAGTCCCGGACACGCCGAGGATGCAGCGGGAGGTGAGTGAAGGATTCCCGGGAAAAGCTGATTTTAGGGAGAGATAGAAGAGCTCAGGACTTTGCAGAAATCTCTGGATTTTTGAACTCTCCCAAAGGTTCTCTGAGTAATTCCCGGATTTTAACTTTATTCCCTCATTCTTTATGGAATTCCCATAAAGAATTGGTGGATGAGGGCATGGAGCAGGGGGGAATATCCAGGCTGGAAATCATTCCATCATCCATAAACCCCGATCCATCAAAACCCCAATGCATAAAAAAACCCCAATGATCAAAAAACCCCCAATGATCAAAAAACTCCCAATCCATCAAAACTAAAAAAAAATTCCCTCCCAAAAACCCCAGTCCATCAAAATCTCATTTCCTCCAAAAAAAACCCCAATCACTCAAAACCCCAATCCCTCCAAAAAAATCTAATCCCTCCCAAAAACCCCATTCACTCCAAAAAAAAACCCAATCCCTCCAAAAAACCCCAATTCCTCCAAAAAAAAATGCATTCCATCAAAAAAAAACCCCAGTCCATCAAAATCTCATTCCCTCCCAAAAGACCCAATCCATCAAAACTCCAATCCCTCAAAAAAAAACCCCAAAAAAACCCCAAAAAACAATCCATTCCCTACAAAAACCCCAATCCATCAAAATCTCATTCTCTCCAAAAAAACCCCAATCCCTCAAAAAACCCCACAAACATTCCCTCAAAAAAATGCCATTCCATGAAAAAATCTCCATTCCCTACAAAAAAACTCCACTCCCTACAAAAAAACCCCAATCCATCAAAATCTCATTCCTTCAAAAAAACCCAATCCATTAAAACCCCAATCCCTCCAAAAAACCCAATTCCTCTATAAAAAAAACCCATTCCCTCAAAAAAAAACCCCAATCCCTCCAAAAAAAACCCAATCGTTCAAAAAATTTTTTTGTAAAAATCCCTCAAAAAAAACCCCAATTCCTCTAGGAAAAAAAAAACCCAATTCCTTAAAAAAAACCTCAGTTCCTCAACAAAAAACCCATAATCTCTCAAAAAAAAACCCAATCCATCAAAATCTTATTCCCCCAAAAAAACCCCAATCCCTACAAAAAAACCCAATCCCTCGAAAAAAAATTTTAAAATCCCTCAAAAAAAAAAACCCCAAGCTCTCAAAAAAACCCCAATCCCTCAAAAAAAAATCCTCCCCAAAAAAAACCCAAATTCCTTCAAAAATAAACCCCAATTCCTCCAAAAAAAATCCAATTCCTTCAAAAAAAACTCAAATTCCTTCAAAAAAAGCAAACCCCAATCCCACCAAAAAAACCACAATTCCTTAAAAAAATAATCCAACACAATCCCTCAAAAAAAAAATAAATAACCCAATCAAGCCAGAGCAGTTCCCACATCCCAGCCAGCCTCACCACCCCTCCCTCGTTTTTCATTCCTTAGGAATTTTCCTCTGGAAAACTCAGGAATGGCTGTGAAAATCCACCCAAAATTTGAATTCAGCACTTTTTGGGTGGGATTTGAGCCTCTGGAGAATCAGAATCTCCCTGGGATAACCTCAGCATCCAAAGCTCCCTGAAATGTATTTAAAAATCTTCATTTTCCCCTTTAAATATATCAAAATCATTGAATCCTTGTGTTTATTCCCGAAGTTTGGGAATGGAGGGAGAAAGGAAAGAAATTCCAAGGTCACAACCAGGCAGCAGAGAAGGCAGAAATTGCAGAAATTCACAATTTAAACGCGGATTTTGGAAAAATCAACAGGAAAACCCAAAAATTCTGCAGTGGAACAGCCCTGGAAGGTCCCTCCTGATGGAAATTTGGGAATTCTGGAATTCCCTGAGCAGTTTGGAGTCAGTGATGGCAGCAACACACCTCACACAGGTAAACTCTGCCTGCATTTCATCTCTTAATTAATCATTCATTAATCATTCATTAATTATTCATGTTGTGCTAATGAGGGCGGGTCAATTCCCAGCGGGAAAATCCCGATATTTCCTAGAGTCAGGAGTAGGAATATCCATTCCTGCCTTAATGAGCTCTCCCTAATTAGCCAGGGCATTAATTACCCCCCCAGGGCTGAGGTATTCCCACCCTGTCTCCATCAAAACTTCCCAAAATCCCAAAATCCTGAGGGCGAAGCACCACCCTCATCCCATCACTGACCCCACACAGACCCCAAACAACCCTAAATCCCCCCAAAACCCTGAAATGCCCCTAAAACCCCCAAAATCCTCCCCAAACATCCCTAAATACCCCCAAAACATCCCTAAATCCCTGTTAAACACCCCTACAGACCCTCCCACAACCCCACAATGCCCTCAAATATCTCTAAATGCATTCAAAACCCCCTAAATACCCCCAAAACAGCCCTAAATGCCTTCAAAGAGCCCTAAATATCCCCAATATATTCCTAAATACCCCCAAACAGCCCTAAATGCCCCCAAAACACCCCTAAATACCCCCAAAGAAACCCTAAATATCCCCAAATACCCCCAATATCCCTAAATACCCCAAAAAAAATCCTAAATACCCCCCAAACATCCCTAAATGTCCTCCAAAAACCCCTAAATGCCCCCCAAATTCCCCTAAATACCCCCAAAACATCCCTACAGACCCTCCCACAACCCCACAATGCCCTCAAATATCTCTAAATGCATTCAAACACCCCTAAATTCCCTCCAAAAACCCCTAAATACCCCTAAACATCCCTAAATGCCTTCAAACAGCCCTAAATATCCCCAATATATCCCTAAATACCTTCAAACAGCCCTAAATGCCCCCAAAACACCCCTAAATACCCCCAAAGAAACCCTAAATATACCAAAAATCCCTAAATACTCCCAAAAAAAATCCTAAATACCCCCCCAAACATCCCCCAAAATCCCTAAATACCCCAAAAAAAATCCTAAATACCCCCCCAAACATCCCCCAAATTCCCTCACACACCCCCTAAACCTCCTCGAACCCCCTAAAAACCTCTCTAACAGCCTAAATACTCCCCAAACAGCCCTAAATGCCCCCAAAACACCCCTAAATACCCCGAAAGAAACCCTAAATATCCCCAAAATCCCTAAATACCCCCAAAGAAACCCTAAATATCCCCAAATACCCCCAAAATCCCTAAATACCCCCAAAAAAAATCCTAAATACCCCCTCAAACGCCCCACACACCCCTAAACCTCCTCAAACCCCTTTAAAACCCCCTCACACAGCCCCTTAAAAACCCCCTCAGAACCGCCCCCACCCTAAATCCCCTCACGGATTCCCTCACAAACCCCTCAGACCCTCACAAACCCCCACCGCCGCAACTCCCCCTCTCTCCCCCGCCTCAAATCCACCTCTCCCCCCATCCCAAACATCCCAAACACCCTCCGGGATCCCCCGGTTCCCTCAGGCCTCTCCCGGTACCTCAGGCCCGGCCGCTCCCGGTACCGTCGATCCCGCCCGGTAACGAAGCCCCCTAAGCGGGCTGCCCCGCGCCGTGCCTGACGCCCAGCGCGGCCGTACGGCCGCGCTGGGCGTCAGGCACGGCGCGGGGCAGCCCGCATGGAGAGAGTAAGGGCGGAAGGGTCTTCACGTGCGCTGTCGCGCATGCGCAGTGAGCGAAGTGAAGCCAGCGAAAGGGCGGGGCGAGTTATGGCGGGGCCAGGCTCGGGGAGGAGGATGAGGAGGAAAAGGAGAAGAAGGAGGAAGCAAAGCGACGGGACGGGATCAATCGGGACGGTGAGCTCGCCCACAGTAAGGGGGTGGTGGTAGGAGGTGTTGCCGTGGGAATATTTGGGGGGTTTCGGTTGGGGGTTGGGGTTTTTGGGGGTTTGGGTGGAGGAGGGATGGGGGAGAGAGAGGAGGGTTCGGAGGAAGAATTTGGGCTGATCCCCCGTGATCCGGTCCCATCCCCGTGTCCCATCCCAGTGTCCCATCCCAATGTCCCATCCCGGTGTCCCTTCTTAATGTCCCATCCTGATGTCCCATCCCATTATCCCATCCCAGTGTCCTATCCCAGTGTCCCATCCCAATGTCCCATCCCCATGTCCCACCCCAGTATCCCATCCCAATGTCCCAATGTGCCATTCCCCTGTCCTATCCCAGTGTCCCATCCCTGTGTCCCATCTCAATGTCCCACTCTGTGTCCTATCCCGGTGTCCCATCCCCGTGTCCCATCCCCTTTTCCCATCCCATTGTCCCATCCCGGTGTCCCATCCCATTGTCCCATCCCCGTGTCCCATCCCCGTGTCCCATCCCATTGTCCCATCCCGGTGTCCCATCTCAATGTCCCACCCTGTGTCCCATTCCCTTGTCCCATCCCCGTGTCCCATCCCCGTGTCCCATCCCCAATGTCCCATCCCCAATGTCCTATCCCAATGTCCCATCCCGGTGTCCCTTCTTGATGTCCCATCCCAATGTCCCATCCCATTATCCCATCCCAGTGTCCTATCCCTGTCCCACCCCAGTGTCCCTTCCCCATGTCCCATTCCCAGTGTCCCATCCCAGTGTCCCATCCCAGTGTCCCATCCCAGTGTCCCATCCCCGTGTCCCATTCCCATTGTCCCATCCCCGTGTCCCATTCCCATTGTCCCATTCCCCTGTCCCATCCCATGTCCCATCCCAATGTCCAATCTCAATGTCCCATCCCCTTTTCCCATCCCCTTTTCCCATCCCCTTTTCCCATCCCCTTTTCCCATCCCCGTGTCCCATCCCGGTGTCCCATCCCATTGTTCCATCCCAATGTCCCAATGTCCCATTCCCCTGTCCTATCCCGGTGTCCCATCCCTGTATCCCATCCCAATGTCCCATCCCAATGTCCCATCCTGGTGTCCCATTCCCAGTGTCCCATCACCCTGTCCCATCCCCGGTGTCCCATCCCATTATCCCATTCCCAATGTCCAATCCCAATGTCCCATCCTGGTGTCCCATCCCATGTCCCACCCCGGTGAACCACAGGGCAGGCCGTGCCTGGGTGACGGTGGCAGTGGCACAGGTGACAGTGGCACAGGTGACAGTGGCACAGGGCCCTGCCCCGGTGACTCACCGTGTCCCGGAGCTCTCTGTTCCCTCCGCTCTGTGCCTGAGCTGCTTCCCGAAGGGATTTCCCAATTCCCGGGGGTCTCCTCCCATCCCAGAGGGTCCTTTTCCAGTACCTGAGGCTCTTTTCCCATTTCCCAAGATTCTTTTACCATTTCCCAGGATTTTGTCCCCATTTCCCAGGGTTTTGTCCCCATTTCCCATTTTTTTTTCCCCATTTCCTGGGGCCCTTCCCCATTTCCTTGAGTTTTTTCCCCATTTCCTGAGTTCTTTCCCCATTTCCCAGGGTTTTTTTCCCATTTTCCTGGGGTTTTCCCCCCATTTCCCATGTTCTTCCCCATTTTCCCAGGGTTTTCCCCCATTTCCCGGGGTTTTCCCCATTTTCCGGGGTTCTTTTCCCATTTCTCAGGTTCTTTCCCAATTTCCCGGGGTTTTTCCCCATTTCCCAGGGTTCTTTTCCCATTTCTCAGATTTTTCCCCATTTCCCAGGGTTCTTTCCTCATTTCCTGTTTTTTTCCCCACTTTTCAGAGTATTTCCCCCATTTCCTGGGATTTTTCCCCACTTCCCAGGGCTTTTCCCCATTTTCCCAGGGTCTTTTCCCATTTTCCCACGTTCTTTTCCCCATTTCCCTTTTTTTCCCAATTTCCCGGGGTTTTTCCCCATTTCCCAGGGTTCTTTCCCCATTTCTCAGATTCTTTCCCCATTTCCCACGGTTCTTTCCTCATTTCCCAGGATTTTTCCCCATTTCCCAGGATTTTTCCCCATTTCCCAGGATTTTTCCCCATTTCCCGGGGCCCTTCCCCCTTTCCCACGGTTCTTTCCCCATTTCCCGGATTTTTCTTCCCCATTTCTCAGGTTTTTTCCCTCATTTTCCCCGTTTTTTTCCCCATTTCCGGGGGCTGAGCCTCGGTACCTGTTTCCAGTTTATTCCCGGGATAATTCCCGAGTTTATTCCCACTGGGAACGGAGTGGAACCGGAACCAGAACCGGAACCGGGCGGTTCCCGAGGCAGTTTGGGGCAAGTGACCCCAAAATGAGGTCGGGCTGTGAGGGGTGGCAGCGCCTCGTCCTGTCCCTGAGTGTCCCAGGGATGTCCTGGTGCCACAGAGCCCATGGTGACTGTCCCTGAGTGTCCCTGTCCCTGACTGTCCCTGTCCCTGTCCCCGGGATGTCCTGGTGGCACAGAGCCCACGGTGGCTGTCCCTGAGTGTCCCTGTCCCTGAGTGTCCCAGGGATGTCCTGGTGCCACAGTGCCCATGGTGACTGTCCCTGAGTGTCCCTGTCCCTGTCCCAGGGATGTCCTGGTGGCACAGAGCCCACGGTGACTGTCCCTGAGTGTCCCTGGGATGTCCTGGTGGCACAGTGCCCACAGTGGCTGTCCCTGAGTGTCCCAGGGATGTCCTGGTGGCACCAAGCCCACGCTGGCTGTCCCTGAGTGTCCCTGGGATGTCCTGGTGGCACACAATGGCTGTTCCTGAGTGTCCCCATCCCTGTCCCAGGGATGTCCTGGTGGCACAGAGCCCACGGTGGCTGTCCCTGAGTGTCCCTGTCCCAGGGATGTCCCAGTGGTGGGCAGTGCTCACGGTGGCTGTCCCTGAGTGTCCCTATCCCCGTGCCAGGGATGTCCTGGTGGCACAGTGCCCACGGTGGCTGTTCCTGACTGTCCCAGGGATGTCCCAGTGGCAGGCAGTGCCCACAGGTGGCTGTCCCTGTCCCAGGGATGTCCTGGTGGCACAGTGCCCACAGTGGCTGTCCCTGACTGTCCCTGGGATGTCCTGGTGGCACATGCTGGCTGTCCCTGACTGTCCCTGTTCCTGAGTGTCCCAGGGATGTCCTGGTGGCACAGAGCCCACGCTGGCTGTCCCTGTCCCGGTGCCAGGGATGTCCTGGTGGCACAGAGCCCATGGTGACTGTCCCTGGGATGTCCTGGTGGCACAGTGCCCACGGTGGCTGTCCCTGAGTGTCCCTGGGATGTCCTGGTGGCACACGCTGGCTGTCCCTGACTGTCCTGTCCCTGTCCCTGTCCCTGTGCAGGGATGCCCCGGCGGCCGGCAGTGCCCACGGTGGCTGTCCCTGACTGTCCTGTCCCTGTCCCTGTCCCTGTGCCAGGGATGCCCCGGCGGCCGGCAGTGCCCACGCTGACCACGCTGTGCCTGCAGAACCTGGCCCAGCACATGCAGAGCCTCTGGGCCAAGGACTACAGTGACAACTACCTGGACGAGTACGAGTTCCGCTTCCTCGTGGGGCCCTTCAACGACCTGGGTGAGCTCTGGGGGGCGGCTCAGACCACCGGGACCCCATTGGGGGGACACAGGGGGGTCCCTCAGTGCTGACCCCCCCCTTTCCCCCCAGCCTGCGGGCTGGTGCAGGAGCTGCTGCAGCTGCTGGGGAGGAGCCGGCGGCTGTCGCGGGCAGCGCTGCATCTGCTGCTGCTGCCACACCTGCAGCAGCTCAGCCTGCAGCCCTGCCCCACCCTCGCCAACAACGCCCTGGGGCACCTCATCGTGCTGCGCTGCCAGGTGGGCACAGGGCATGGGGGCCTGTGGGAGTGGTGTCTGTGGGGCAGGGGGTGACAGCACTCTGAGGGAGCAGGGCAGTGGGGCAGGGGGAGTTGGGCTGGTGGGACCACCCTCTAAGGAGATGGGTGCCCATCCTTTGTGGGGCTGGGGGTGCCAACCTTCCATAGGGCAGGGGGGATCGAGCTTGGGGTGGGTGCCCATCCTTTGTGGGGCTGGGGGTGCCAACCTTCCATAGGGCAGGGGGGATAGAGCTTGGGGTGGGTGCCCATCCTTTGTGGGGCTGGGGGTGCCAACTTTCCATAGGGCAGGGGGGATAGAGCTTGGGGTGGGCTGGGGGTGCCAACTTTCCATAGGGCAGGGGGAATACAGCTTGAGGTGGGTTGGGGATGCCCACTTTCCATAGGGCAGGGGGGATAGAGCTTGAGGTGGGCTGGGGATGCAAACTTTCCATAGGGCAGGGGGGATAGAGCTTGGGGTGGGTGCTCACCACCCATGGGGCAGGGGAAGCCCACCATCAGTGGGTCAGCTGGGGGTGCCACCATCCGTGGGCCGAGGGGCTGGCACGGGGGGAGCAGACAGGCCCTGCCCACCCTCTATGGGGCAGGGGGTGAGGGTGGCACCAGCGAGAGGTCTCCCCGTGCTCCTGCAGGGCCTGAGCGTGCTGGAGCTGAGCGGCTGCGGGCGGCTGTCCCCGGCCGTGCTGGTGGACCTGGCCGAGGGGCTGCCCCGCCTGATCCGCCTGGGGCTGGCCCACACCCAGACCAACATCCAGGTGCTGTCAGCCGTGGGCTCCTGCTGCCGCCGCCTGCGGGAGCTCGACGTGTCCGGCTGCAAGAAGGTGACACCGCGCGCCCTCCGCCACTTGGGCTACGACCCCGTGGAACGGCGCCCCGGCTGTCCTGCGCTCCGTGTCCTGCTGGCCCGTGAGCTGGAGGGGGACGCGGTGACAGCCGTGGCCTTCCTGCTGCTGGCCCTGCCGCGCCTGGAGGTGCTGGCACACGGCGCCGTGCCCGACGCGCTGCGGCTGCTGCGCTCGGGGCGGTTGGGTGGCACCGAGGACTCGGAGGGTTTCCCCTCGCTGGAGGAGCTGGCACGGAGCAGGGGGGATTCAGCAGAGGAAACCCCGCTGATGTTGGCACTGAGGCAGCTGGAGGAGGTGGAGGAGGACGCCCTGAGCACCGTCCACGCTGTGTGTCCCCAAGCTGAGGAGCTCAGCGTGTGGCTGGGGGACAGTCCCAACCCCTCGGGGCTCCGGGAGCTGTCGGGATGGAAGTGCCTGTCCCGCCTGACGCTGGGCTGCTCCGGGCGGCACAGCCGGGCGCTGGCAGAGCTGCTGCCCCTGGCACAGGGTCTGGGCAGCCGCCTGCGCGTCCTGACCCTGCACAGCTTCATCTGCCAGGACCCGCTGTCGCTGCCCGCCCTGCTCACCAGCTGCCCCAGCCTGCAGAGCTTCAGCGCCGAGCTGGAAGTGCCACCAGACCCCCATGAGGAGCCCCCCGAGGAGGAGCCGCCACGCTGGGCCACCGACCTGCTGCCACAGAGGCTACCCCGTCTCCAGAGCTTCTCGCTGAGCCTGACCAGCCCTGTGCCAGCCACACACAGGCCGGTGCTCAGCTCCACGCTGGCATCGCTGCTGTGCCAGGCGCCGCGGCTGCAGATCCTGCGCCTGCTGGCCGTGCCCTTCCCGCTGGACTCGGTGCTGGAGCCGGCGCTGGCGGGGCTGCAGGAGCTGCAGGAGCTGGTGCTGGCCCAGAGCCGCGTGTCCCCTGGCACCGTGTGGCAGCTGCTGGGCTCCGACGGGCCCCTGCGCCGCCTGGACCTGTCCCGCTGCCCCGACATCCACCGGCGCGACTACGACGGGTTCCTGCAGGCCGTGAGGAAGCAGCGCCTGGAGCTGGACATCACCTGGGAGTAGCACCGGGGTTTTTAATAAAATCATCACCATCACACCTGCCTGGCACCGTGGCATCCCCTCGGCGGCACGGGGCGGGTACGGGTGGCAGCGTGGTGTCCCCTTTGCCGCCCTGAGGGGTGACATCCTGGTGGGTGGCTCAATCCTGCTCCGTGAGCCCCGTCAGCCGTTCTGATGCCTCCCAGAGCTTCCGTGCCAGCGCGGCGTCACGGGCGGCCAACGAGGGCAGCGCCAACCGGCAGCTGCTGTCGAAGTATTTCCCGGTGATGCCCGCGGCCTCCTCTGAGACGGCGCAGAAAATGCTGCTGGCAGCGCCCTGCTGGGCCGACTGTGGGGAAACGGGGGTGAGGAGGGGTCTGGCACCCCCCACCCACCCCGCTGCCCCCCAGGATGGGCAGGACCCGCCCTGCTCACCTTCATGAAGGGGCGGAGGAGGGCGAAGAGCGCCCGCATGGCCCAGCCGAAGTGGCGCATGATGCTGGTGCTCACCACGCCGGGGCTCACCGCGTTGGCTGTCACCCCTGCCAGGCCACACCGTCACCCCTGGGTCCCCAAATCCCTCGGGGAGCAGCAGGAGCAACCCCCACCCTGACCTCAGCGTGGGGCTCTGCCACCCAGCAACTCTCAGACCCCCGAGCTCTGCCAGCAGCCCCCAAAATCTGACACAGCAGCGCGGGGAATTGGGACAGGGGATGTCCCCAGGGTGCCACATGGCACGGCTGAGCCTGGCACGGCCCAGCACCCACCTGTGCCCTGCAGGCGCCGTGCCAGCTCAGCGGTGAAGAGCACATTCATCAGCTTTGTGCTGTTGTAGGCGGCGGCGTGCCCGCCTGGGCACCGCTGCCCCGTCAGGTACCCGCTGTCGGCCGTGCCCGCGCTGTGCCGGAACGACGACACGTTGACCACACGGGCGGGCGCTGAGGCCTTCAGGAGGTCTGTGCCAAGCAGGGGGTGAGCAGGAGGAGTTCCCCAAAAACCCCCCAAAACCCCCAACCCCTACACTCACCCAGGAGCAGATTGGTGAGCAGGAACGGCCCCAAGTAGTTGGTGGCGAAGGTTTGCTCCAATCCCTCCAACGTGATGGCGAAGGGCAGCCCTGAAATAAGGTGGGCAGTGCCATGGGGTGTGGGCACGGGGTGCTGGACCCTCGTGGGGGTTTGCCTGGCACGTACCGGTGACGCCGGCGTTGTTCACCAACACGTCCAAGCGCGGCTCCTCACGCAGCACGGCGCTGGCGAAGGCGCGCACCGAGGCCAAGGAGCCGGTGTCCAGCAGCCTCAGCAGCACCTCCCGGTTCCCGGTGGCCTCCCGGATCTCCTCCACGGCCTCCTGGCCCCGCTCCCGGTTCCGGCACGCCAGGATGGTGCGGGCGTTGCGGCGTGCCAGGTCCATGGCCACGCACTTGCCGATGCCTGCAGGACATAAAGGGTGAGGGGATGATCCCAGCTGGGTCCCTCTGGTGAGGAGGTGTGGGAACCCAGGGCTTCCCTCTGGCTGCCCTGGGACCCTGGCAGGGGTCAGGAACCCCCCTGGACAGAGCCCCCAGAGACACTGGCTGTGATCTCTGTCCATGGAAAAGAGTTTTCAATCTTACAGGATGAATTACCAGCTCTGAGTGTTTGATATAAGTAATAATTAAGTGTGACACGGGTGCAGAAGTAAAATTTTAGGATTCTAGATTAGGGGTCCAAAGGGGACAAGATGGAGGAAATTGGGTGTGCCTTGTCCTTTTTCTCCTTCTTCATGCCCTCCATGTTTCACTGCGGTGTTGGCATTTTTCTGTTGGTTTAGGCTGGGGACACACTGTCCAACGTAGGTGACAGATATTGGCACGTTATTGTAAATCCAGCACAGGTAGTTTGTGATATTTAATGTTTGTACCATCCCACTGAGGGCAGAGCCCCACACGCTGCCCTGCAGGACAGAGCTGCGGCAGGGCAGCAGAACATGTTAGAGATAAACAGAATAAACAACCTTGAAACCAGCACAGACCAATTATGGCTTCTGCTTTGGCAATGGGGCAGAAAGACAGAGACTTTCTACAATCTCAGAATCATCAATACCCACAGATTCCGACAAGGAGGGGTCCTTTGGGGTCTGTGCCCCAGGGTTTGGGAAGCCCCTGCCACACCCAAAACCACCCAGCGGGGAAAGATGGGCACAGGGGAGGGGATGGAGCCCAACATTTGTTGGCTCACTCTGTCCCTGGGCATATGTGGACATCTCAATGTCAGCTTGGGGGTGCCAACATCCCCAACCAAACGCTTGGAAGTGGTGCCATCCCTGAGATGATCAGTGATGCCATCCCTGGTGTGACACAGCGGCCGTGGTGGCTTTGTCTGTCAGTCACTAACAGGGCTGAGACAGCCTCGGGAGGTGAGCAGAGGGCACCAGGAGCTCTGTGGGTGCCCAGGGACCGGCCACCAGCTTCTTCTGCAGCCCCAAAGCAGGGACCAGAGGCTGGCAAAGGGACACCAATGTCCCCTGTGGGCCACCCCTCACCCACGCACGTCCCCGCCACCCCTCCCTGCTCACCGCTGTTGGCTCCGGTGACAATCACTGTCTTGCCCGTCAGGTCCGTGGGACATTTTTGGGGTTCCCAGGGGTTTCTGCGGGTGGCCCAGAGCAGCAGGAGCAGGAGAAGGAGCAGCAGGAGCCACCACGGGGGGCTCGGAGCCCCCAACAGCTCCATGGCCGGGCGCGGGGTGGGGCTGGGGACAGAGGTCACAGCAGGACCTTTGCCCGGCTGGCAGCACGGCACGGCACGGCACGGCACGGCACGGGTCCCTGTGCCCCGTGAGCCGCTGGGGACAGCAGCAGGGTGGCTGGAGCAGGCAGGAGGGCGAGCCACGCGTGTCCTGTGCCACCCCACTGTCCCCAGTGTCACCGTGTCAGGAGTGACAGTTAATTTACTGACGTTGATAAAACCACAGGGGTTTTTTCTCCGCTAACATTATCTGCCAATCTGGACCCAAAAAATATATTTTCCACCCCAATGTTCCTCTGTGGGTTTTTGAGTAACACGGGAGGAATCGCACCAGTGCAAAAAAGCCACCCCCATGAATCATCTTCCGCTAATTAGGAACTGAAAGCCACCCCAATGAATCATCTTCCGCTAATTAGGAACTGATAGCCACCCCAATAAATCATCTTCTGCTAATTAAGAACCCAAATCTACGCCTGAGGTCTCACCCGCTGCTGCAAATGAGCTGAGAGCTACTCCTGCTATCGCACCTCATGCTAATGAGCTGAAACCACGCCCACTCATCAGATATTAATTAGGGTCTCTATAAATCCGACTCGGGGGCCGCGAGTGTCACACCGCTGTCCTCGGTGCCACCTCCGTGTCCCCGGTGTCGCTTCAGGGCCGCTCGCCGGGGCAGCACCGGACTCCCCGCGACCCCGGGGCGGCTACAGGAGGGGCGATGTCCCCCCAAGTCCCCTTCGGGCAGTGCGGGGACACTCCGGGGCATGTCCCTGTGGGAGCAAGGACCTTCAGGAGTGGCCCAGCGAGTGGGGACAATCCCAGCGAGGGACCCCGAGCTGCGCCCGGAGCTCCCGGGAGGGCGGAGGAGGCTCCGGGCAGCCTCTGCCCGTCCCGTCCCCGTTCCCCAGGACAGCAGCTCACGGGGAGAAACCGCGTTTCACCTCGTCACCTCCCTCTTCTTCCTCATTTGGGGACAAAGGGGATGCGGGGACGTTGGTGGCACCGTGGGCGCAGCGCCCGGTGCTCCCCCGACCCGGCTCCGGTGGCACCGGCGGCTCCGTAAAACTCATTTTAGTGGTTTTTATTGACTTCTGTTCTATTCAGCAGCACTGGCGAAGAGCCCCGAGCTCCGAGAGCATCGTACAGCGCCATGCCCGGTGCCAGCCCCGGTACCGGCGACAGACGGGGCGACAACGCTCTCCCCGGAGCCTGTACCGGGGCCGGGAGGAACAACCCCGGGAACTGCCGCGTTCCCGGTGGGTTTTCCAGCTCCTCCTCGGATTCTTTATACTCCGAGAGGCGGCACTCCGGGTGGGGTAAGATGGGTTTTAAATCCTCCTCCGCCCTCCTCAGCGCATCATCCCCCTGCTCGTCCCCGCCGTGCCCCACCGGCACCGGCCCGCGGCGCTCGGTGCCGCCGCAGCGCACGGTGACACCGGGAGCCAAGCGAGCCGCGGCCAGCCAGGGCTCACAGAGCTGCGGTTCGGCCCTGCCGGTCCGTACCGGTACCGGGATGATGTGCAGGGATCCCCGGGAGAGTAACCGGCTCCGTGATGCCGCTGAACGCGCCCGTTCGGGCTCGGTGCTCACGTCCGCCACCGTCACCACCGGCAGCACGCAGCGAGCGGTACCGAGCCTGGCATCCAGCCTGGCATCCAGCCGGGCATCCAGCCTGGCATCCAGCCTGGCATCCAGCCTGGGCACGGCCGCGCCAAGGGAGGAGGACGGCGGTGGCGGCGCTCGGTCGCCGTTCGCCACCGTGACCAACCGGGACTCCGCCGGTGGCCGCGCTGCGGGTCCCGAGGGAGCGGCCGGTCGGGGTCGGAGGAGTCGGCGGCTTCTCCCGGGAGTCCCGGAGACGCGGCGGCTCTTCCCGGGGCACCGGGGAGCGATGGGCGGTTCTGGAGCGGGCACCGGGACGGCGGGAGGAGCTGTGGATGTGGCGGAGGAGAACGGGCGCGGCGGCGGCTCCTGACCCCCCCAAGAACGGAGCCGGTGTGGGTGGCGGTGTCCCGGTGTGGGTGACACCGGGGGTCCCACGGGGCCGGAGTTCAGCCCGGGGGGTGGTCGGGACACGGGGACAACGGGGACACGTCTCACCTGCTCGGGGGGCTCGGGGACATTCCGGGTGGGAGAAGCCTCGGTGACTTCACCGGGACACGCGAGCGGAATTTCAGCCTCGGAGGAGACCTGGTAGGGGACAAAGGGGACACGGTGTGGGTGACAGAGTGTGACACCCCCCGGGTGGCTTCTGGGTGGGTCGGGGGATGTATCACCTCTTCCCAAACCAGAGAGGGCTCCGCCACGGTGACAATTCCCGGTGTCCAGGAGTCCAAGCGGCAGATTTGGGGTTCCTCATCCTCCTTCCAGACCTCGGGGTCCCCATCGTCCCTCACCAGGAATCGCCACTCGGCGACAAACAGGATGGCATCGCGTGCCCGTGCCACCGTGAAGGGCACCCGCTGGGGACACAGAGCTGAGATGGCACCCACAAAACCTGTGGGAACCCAGAGCTTCCCTCTGGCTGCCCTGGGACCCTGGCAGGGGTCAGGAACCCCCCTGGACAGAGCCCCCAGAGACACTGGCTGTGATCTCTGTCCATGGAAAAGAGTTTTCAATCTTACAGGATGAATTACCAGCTCTGAGTGTTTGATATAAGCAATAATTAAGTGTGGCATGGTGCAAAAGTAAAATTTTAGGTTTCTAGATTAGGGGTTCAGAGGGGACAAGATGGAGGAAATTGGGTGTGCCTTGTCCTTTTTCTCCTTCTTCATGCCCTCCATGTTTCACTGTGGTGTTGGCATTTTTCTGTTGGTTTAGGCTGGGGACACACTGTCCAACGTAGGTGACAGATATTGGCACGTTATTGTAAATCCAGCACAGGTAGTTTGTGGTATTTAATGTTTGTAACATCCCACTGAGGGCAGAGCCCCACACGCTGCCCTGCAGGACAGAGCTGCGGCAGGGCAGCAGAACATGTTAGAGATAAACAGAATAAACAACCTTGGAACAGCACAGACCAATTATGGCTTCTTCTTTGGCAGCGGGGCTGACAGACAGAGACTTTTACAATTTTGGGATCATCAATCCCACAGATTCCGACAAAACCTCCCCAAATCTTTGGGGTGCCGGGGTCTCTCACCTGCCGAGCTGCAGCTGCCAGCGCACACTCGCTCCAGACCCTCTCCAGGAGCTCATCCAGGATGGGCCCCACATCCAGAGGCTCCCAGGATGGGGATTCGGCCTCCGGGGTCGGGACGGGGGTTTGGGGGGTTTTGGGGGTTTTTGGGGTTTTGGAGAGGCGGCGCTGGGCTCGGCCGCCTGCTCGTGGTTTGTCCTGCGTGGATCTGGTGGTGGTGGCGGCCCCGCGGGGTTTTGATTTCTGCTCAGGGATAGGGACGGTCACAGCTCCCAGTATAGACCAGTACACTGCCACGCAGCCCAGCGTGGTTCCTCTGCTCATCCCAGTGCATCCCAGTGCATCTCAGTACACTCCAGTGTAGCCCAGTACATCCCAGTACGTCCCAGTATAGCCCAGTACATCCCAGCCCACCTCAGCATGGTTCCTTAGCATAGCCCAGTACATCCCAGTATAGCCCAGTACATCCCAGCCCACCTCGGCATGGTTCCTCAGTATAGCCCAGTACATCCCAGTATAGCCCAGTACATCCCAGCCCACCCCAGCAGGGCCCCCCAGTATAACCCAGTGCATCCCAATATATGCCAGTATAGCCCAGTACCTCCCAGCCCACCCCAGCAGGCCCCCCCAGTACATCCCAGTATAGCCCAGTCCATCCCAGCTCATCCCGGTGCATCCCAGTACAGCCCAGCCCACCCCAGCAGGGCCCCCCAGTACATCCCAGCTCATCCCAGTGCATCTCAGTACACTCCAGTATAGCCCAGTACCTCCCAGTATGTCCCAGTATAGCCCAGTATAGCACAGTACATCCCAGCCCACCTCAGCATGGCCCCCCAGTATAACCCAGTACATCCCAGTGCATCCCAATATATGCCAGTATAGCCCAGTACCTCCCAGCCCACCCCAGCAGGGCTCTCCAGCTCATCCCAGTATAGCCCAGTCCATCCCAGTGTATCCCAGTATAGCCCAGCCCACCCCAGCAGGGCCCCCCAGCTCATCCCAGTACATCCCAGTATAGCCCAGTCCACCCCAGCATGGCTCCCCAGTACATGCCAGTATAGCCCAGTCCATCCCGGTGCATCCCAGTATAGCCCAGCCCACCCCAGCATGGCCCCCCAGTACATCCCAGTATAGCCCAGTCCATCCCACCTCACCCCGGTGCATCCCAGTATAGCCCAGCCCACCCCAGCAGGGCCCCCCAGTACATCCCAGCTCATCCCAGTGCATCTCAGTACACTCCAGTATAGCCCAGTATCTCCCAGCCCACCCCAGCATGGCTCCCCAGCTCATCCCAGTATAGCCCAGTCCATCCCGGTGCATCTCAGTATAGCCCAGCCCACCCCAGCATGGCCCCCCAGCTGATCCCAGTACATCCCAGTATAGCCCAGTGCATCCCAGTATAGCCCAGCCCACCCCAGCATGGCTCCCCAGCTCATCCCAGTACATCCCAGTATAGCCCAGTACATCCCAGCCCACCCCAGCAGGGCCCCCCAGTACATCCCAGCTCATCCCAGTGCATCTCAGTACACTCCAGTATAGCCCAGTACATCCCAGCCCACCTAAGCAGGGCCCCCCAGCTCATCCCAGTACATCCCAGCTCATCCCGGTGCATCCCAGTATAGCCCAGCCCACCCCAGCATGGCCCCCCAGTACATCCCAGTATAGCCCAGTCCATCCCAGCTCATCCCGGTGCATCCCAGTACATCCCAGTCCACCCCAGCATGGCCCCCCAGCTCATCCCAGTACATCCCAGTACACCCCCAACTCCTCCCAGCCAGCTCCCGCCCCCTTTGCCCCGCTCTGCCGCCTCCCAGTCCCTCCCAGTCCCTCCCAGTCCTCCCAGTCCCACCTCGGCCATTCCGCCCCTTTTGGCGTCGCGGGTTCCATGGCAACGTGACGTCATCACCGCGCGCCGCCCGCATTACGTCATCACGCCGCGACGCGTCTCCATGGCGGCGGCGAGCACCGGGTGAGGGGGGGGGGGTGAACCGGGAATTGGGGGGCAGTGAGGGGAATTGGGGGGGAATTAAGGGGAATTGGGGGTCACTGAGGGGAATTGGGGAGCGCTGAGGGGAATTGGGGAGCCACCGCAACCCCTCAGATCCACTCCAGCCCCCCCAAAATCTTCCCCAACTACCTGGATCTGCCCCTATCCCCTCAGATCCACTCCAGCCCCCCCAAAATCTTCCCCAGCCCCCTGGATCTGCCTCCATCCTTCTCCAGACCCACCCCACCCCCTTAGATCTGCGCCAGGCCCCCCAAAATCTTTCCCAACTCCCTGGACCTGCCCCCCACTCCCTCTCCAGACCCACCTCAGCCCCTCAGATCCTCTCCAGCCCCCCCAAAATCTTCCCCAGCCCCCTGAATCTGCCCCCATCCTTCCCCAGACCCACCCCACCCCCTTAGATCTGCTCCAGCCCCCCCAAAATCTCCCCCAACCCCCTGGAAATGCCCCCTCTCCCCCTCCAGACTCACCCCATCCCCTTAGATCTGCGCCAGGCCCCCCAAAATCTTCCCTGACCCCCTGGAAATTCCCCCACTCCCTCTCCAGACCTACCTCAGCTCCTCAGATCCGTTCCAGCCCCCCCCAAATCTCCCCCAACCCCCTGAGAATTCCCCCAAACCCTCTCCAGACCCACCCCATACCCTCGGATGCGCTCCAGTCCCCCCCCAAAATCTTCCCCAACTACCTGGATCTGCCCCCATCCCCCTCCAGACCCACCCCATGCCCTCAGATCCACTCCAGTCCCCCCCAAAATCTTCCCCAGCCCCCCTGGATCTGCTCCTATCCCCCTCCAGACCCACCCCATCCCCTCAGATCCCCTCCAGCCCCCCCAAAATCTCCCCCAACCCCCTGGAAATGCCCCCACTCCCTCTCCAGACCCACCCCACCCCTCTTAGATCCACTCCAGCCCCCTGGACCTGCTCCTATCCCCCTCCAGACCCACCCCACTCCCTCAGATCTGCTCCAGCCCCCCAAAATCTTCCCCAGTCCCCCCTGGATCTGCCCCCATCCTTCTCCAGACCCACCCCACCCCTTTAGATCCGCTCCAGCCCCCCAAAATCTTCCTCAACCCCCTGGAAATTCCCCCACTCCCTCTCCAGACCCATCCCACTCCCTCAGATACGCACCAGGCCCCCCAAAATCTCCCCCAACCCCCTGGAAATTCCCCCACACCCTCTCCAGACCCGCCCCACCCCCTCAGATTCACTCCAGCCCCCCCAAAATCTTCCCCAGCCCCCCCTGCATCTGCCCCCATCCTTCTCCAGACCCACCCCACCCCCTTAGATCCACTCCAGCCCCCTGGACCTGCCCCCCACTCCTTCTCCAGACCCACCCCACCCCCTCAGATCCCCTCCAGCCCCCCCAAAATCTCCCCCAACCCCCTGGAAATGCCCCCATCCTTCTCCAGACCCACCCCACCCCCTCAGATTTGCTCCAAGCACCCCAAAATCTCCCCCAACCCCCTGAGAATTCCCCCACACCCTCTCCAGACCCACCCCACCCCCTTAGATCTGTGCCAGGCCCCCCAAAATCTTCCCCAGCCCCCCCTGGATCTGCCCCCATCCTTCTCCAGACCCACCCCACCCCCTCAGATCCACTCCAGCCCCCCCAAAATCTTCCTCAACCCCCTGGAAATTCCCCCATTCCCTCTCCAGACCCACCCCACCCCCTCAGATCTGTGCCAGGCACCCCAAATTCTTCCTCAAGCCCCCCTGGATCTGCCTCCATCCTTCTCCAGACCCATCCCATCCCCTCAGATCCACTCCAGGCCCCCCAAAATCTTCCCCAGCCCCCCCAAAATCTTCCCCAGCCCCCTCTGGATCTGCCCCCATCCTTCTCCAGACCCACCCCACCCCCTTAGATCCGCTCCAGCCCCCCAAAAATCTCCCCCAACCCCCTGAGAATTCCCCCACTCCCTCTCCAGACCCACCCCACCCCCTCAGATCCACGCCAGGCACCCCAAAATCTTCCTCAACCCCCTGGAAATCCCCCACTCCCTCACCAGACCCACCCCACCCCCCTTAGATCCACTCCACCCCCCTGGATCTGCCCCCATCCCGCTCCAGACCCACCCCACCCCTTTAGATCCCCTCCAGCCCCCCCAAATCTCCCCGAACCCCCCGGAAATGCCCCCCGGGAGCCGGCCCAGCCCGTGGCTGTGCCCGCCCAGGCGGTACCGGCGGGGGCGCTGCCTGGCCCTGCGCAGCAGCAGCTCGGCCCTGTACAACAACCTGGCCGTGCTGTGCCCTCCGGGCCGGGCCCCGGCCTTTGGCACCGTGCACGGCACCACCCTCAGCCTGCTGGGCACCGAGGGGCACCCCCGGCAGCTGCAGGCACGGGGAGGGGGCTCTGCCCTCAGCACCCCGCTGCTGACACAGGTGAGGGGTGGGGAGAGGCTGGGCAGGGTCCTGCTGGCAGCGGGTACGGGGTGGGACATGGCCCTGGTACATCCCTGGCACTGGGCAGGGGGTGGGACATGGCCCTGGCACCGGGCAAGGTAGGGGGACACGGCCCTGGCACCTCCCTGGCACATCCCTGGCGCCAGGGCAGGGGGTGGGACACAGCGCTGGCACTGGGCAGGGCTGGGGACATGGCCCTGGCACCTCCCTGACACATCCCTGGCACATCCCTGGCACAGGACAGGGTGGGGGTACATGGCCCTGGCACCGGACAGGGTTGGGGACACAGCCCTGGCACCTCCCTGGCACTGGGAAGGGTTGGGGACACAGCCCTGGCACCGGGCAGGGGGTGGGACATGGCCCTGGCACCTCCCTGGCACTGGGCAGGGGGTGGGATATGGCACTGGCACTGGGCAGGGGGTGGGACATGGCCCTGGCACCTCCCTGGCATCAGGCAGGGATGTGGGACATGGTCCTAGCACCTCCCTGGCACTGGGCAGGGGGTGGGACATGGCCCTGGCACTGGGCAGGGTTGGGGACACAGCCCTGGCACCTCTCTGGCACCTCCCTGGCACCAGGCAGGGATGTGGGACACGGTCCTGGCACTGGGCAGGGATGTGGGACATGGCCCTGGCACTGGGCAGGGTTGGGGACACGGCCCTGGCACCTCCCTGGCACATCCCTGGCACATCCCTAGCACAGGGCAGGGGGTGGGATACGGCCCTGACACCTCCCTGGCACATCTCTGGCACATCCCTGGCACATCCCTGGCACAGGGCAGGGGGTGGGACATGGCCCTGGCACCGGGCAAGGTAGGGGGACACGGCCCTGGCACCTCCCTGGCATATCCCTGGCACATCCCTGGCACCAGGGCAGGGGGTGGGACACGGTCCTGGCACTGGGCAGGGGGTGGGACACGGCCCTGGCACCTCCCTGGCACCTCCCTGGCACCAGGCAGGGTGTGGGATACGGCCCTGGCTCCTCCCTGGCACATCCCTGGCACCAGGGCAGGGGGTGGGACACAGCCCTGGCATCTCCCTGGCACATCCCTGGCACTGGGAAGGGTTGGAGACACGGCCCTGGCACCTCTCTGCCATCAGGCAGGGATGGGGACATGGCCCTGGCACCGGGCAAGGTGGGGGGACACAGCCCTGGCACCTCCCTGGCACCAGGGCAGGGCTGGGGACACGGCCCTGGCACCTCCTTGGCACATCCCTGGCACCAGGGCAGGGGTGGGACACAGCTCTGGCACCGGGTAAGGTGGGGGGACACGGCCCTGGCACCTCCCTGGCACATCCCTGGCACTGGGCAGGGGGTGGGACATGGCCCTGGCACCTCCCTGGCACATCCCTGGCACCGGGCAGGGATGTGGGACATGGCCCTGGCACTGGGCAGGGGGTGGGACACGGCCCTGGCACTGGGCAAGGTGGGGGTACATGGCCCTGGCACCAGGCAGGGGGTGGGACATAGCTCTGGCACCTCCCTGGCACCAGGCAGGGATGTGGGATATGGCCCTGGCATCTCCCTGGCACATCCCTGCCACTGGGAAGGGTTGGGGACACGGCCCTGGCACCTCCCTGGCACATCCCTGGCACATCCCTAGCACAGGGCAGGGGGTGGGACATGGCCCTGGCACCTCCCTGGCACCAGGCAGGGATGTGGGACACAGTCCTGGCATCTCCCTGGCACCTCCCTGGCACTGGGCAGGGGGTGGGATACAGCCCTGGCATCTCCCTGGCACCGGGCAGGGATGTAGGACACAGCCCTGGCACCTCCCTGGCACATCCCTGGCACAGGGCAGGGATGTGGGAAACGGCCCTAGCACCTCCCTGTCACTGGGAGGGGTTGGGGACATGGCCCTGGCACCTCCCTGGCACATCCCTGGCACTGGGAAGGGGTGGGGACACAGCCCTGGCACATCCCTGGCACTGGGAAGGGTTGGGGACATGGCCCTGGCACCTCCCTGGAACAGGGCAGGGGGTGGGACACGGCTCTGGCACTGGGCAGGGGGTGGGACATGGCCCTGGCACCTCCCTGGTACATCCCTGGCACATCCCTGGCACCTCCCTGGCACTGGGCAAGGTGGGGGGACAAAGCCCTGGCACCAGGCAGGGGGTGGGACACGGCCCTGGCACCTCCCTGGCACTGGGCAGGGGATGGGACATGGCCCTGGCACGGGGCAGGGGGTGGGACACGGCCCTGGCACCTCCCTGGCACCTCCCTGGCACTGGGCAAGGCGGGGGGACAAAGCCCTGGCACTGGGCAGGGTTGGGGACACGGCCCTGGCACCTCCCTGACACATCCCTGGCACATCCCTGGCACCGGACAGGGTGGGGGGTACACGGCCCTGGCACTGGGCAGTGTTGGGGACACAGCCCTGGCACCTCCCTGGCACCAGGCAGGGATGTGGGACACGGCCCTAGCACCTCCCTGGCACTGGGAGGGGTTGGGGACATGGCCCTGGCACCTCCCTGGCACTGGGCAAGGCAGGGGGACAAAGCCCTGGCACTGGGCAGGGTTGGGGACACGGCCCTGGCACCCCCCTGGCACATCCCTGGCACATCCCTGGCACTGGGCAGGGTTGGGGACACGGCCCTGGCACCTCCCTGGCACATCCCTGGCACTGGGAAGGGATGTGGGATATGGCCCTGGCACTGGGCAGGGGGTGGGACACGGCCCTGGCACCTCCCTGGCACTGGGGGAGCCCCCTGAGGGGTCTGTAGGAATTTGGGGGGATCCTGGAGGCCAGCAGGGACTGAGCTGAGGGGACATCGAACACACCTGGGGCAGGGCAGGGCAGGGGAGAGGGTCTGGGGGCTCCAGGAGGGGATTTGGGGGCTCCAGGAGGGGTTTGGGGGCTCCAGGAGGGGTTTGGGGGGCTCCAGGAGGGGTTTGCGGTGCTCCAGGAGGAAATTGGGGGGCTTCAGGAGGGGTTTGGGGGGCTCCAGGAGGGGTTTGAGAGGCTCCAAGAGGGGTTTGGGGGGCTCTTGTTCCAGGATGAGGGGATTGAGGGGCCCCAGGAGGAAACTGGGGGGCTGTTGTTCCAAGAGGAGGAGATTTGGGGGCTCCAGGAGGGGTTTGAGAGGCTCTAGAATTGGTTTGGGGGGCTCCAGGAGGGGTTTGGGGGGCTCCTGTTCCAGGATTTGGAGTTTGGGGTGTTCCAGGAGGGGATTGGGGGGTTCCAGGAGGGGATTGGGACGTTCCAGGAGGGGTTTGAGAGGCTCCAGGATTGGTTTGGGGGCCTCCAGAAGGGGTTTGGGGGGCTCCTGTTCCAGGGTTTGGAGTTTGGGGTGTTCCAGGAGTGGATTTGGGGTTCCAGGAGGGGGTTGGGGGGGCTCCTGTTCCAGGGGTAGGAGTTTGGGGTGCTTCAGGAGGAAATTGGGGGGCTCCTGTTCCAGGGTTTGGATTTTGGGGGTCCAGGAGGAAATTGGGGTGCTCCAGGAGGGGTTTGAGAGGCTCTAGAATTGGTTTGGGGGCCTCCAGAAGGGATTTGGGGGGCTCCTGTCCCAGGGTTTGGAGTTTGGGGGGTTCCAGGAGAGGATTTGGGGTTCCAGGAGGGGATTTGGGGTTCCAGGAGGGGGTTGGGGGGCTCCTGTTCCAGGGGTAGGAGTTTGGGGTGCTTCAGGAGGAGATTTGGGGGGTCCAGGAGGGGTTTGAGAGGCTCCAGGATTGGTTTGGGGGCCTCCAGAAGGGATTTGGGGGGCTCTTGTTCCAGGGTTTGGAGTTTGGGGGGTTCCAGGAGGGGATTTGGGGTTCCAGGAGGGGATTGGGGAACTCCTGTTCCAGGGGTAGGAGTTTGGGGTGCTTCAGGAGGAAATAGGGGGGCTCCTGTTCCAGGGTTTGGATTTTGGGGGGCTCCAGGAGGGGATTGGAGGGTTCCAGGAGGAGATTTGGGGTTCCAGGAGGGGATTTGGGGAGTTCCAGGAGGGGATTTGGGGTTCCAGAAGGGGATTGGGGGTTCCAGGAGGGGACTGGGGGGCTCCTGTTCCAGGGTTTGGATTTTGGGGTGTTCCAGGAGGAGATTCGGGTGTCCCTGATCCAGGAGGAGATTTGGGACCTCCTGTTCCGGGCTAAGAGTTGGAGAAACCCCACAGGGAGGGTTTGAGAAGCTTCAGGAAGGGATTTTGGGGTTCCCCCAGGGGCAGACCCACGGGAGGTGGGGTCAGAGGGAGGTTTTGGGGGGTCCCTCAGTGTCCCCCCGCTGTGTCCCCCCGCTGTGTCCCTCGCAGGCCGCGTGGTGCGAGCTCCCATCGAGGGTGCTGCTGGTGCTCACATCCCAACGTGGGGTCCAGGTGAGACCTGGGGGGACATTGGGGGGACATTGGGGGGTCCCCTTGTCACCCCCAGATGTCCCAACCTGTCCCTCCGTGCAGATGTACGAGGCTGATGGCTCCACCATGGTGTTCTGGCACGCGCTGGACGTCCCGGAGATGCCACCAGGTGAGTCCCCCAGGCCACCACTGCCCGTGTCCCCAAGTGCCACGGGCACAGGGCTGCTCAGTCCCCCCCAGGGATGGAAATTCCAGCCTTTTCCAGGAAGGAATTTTGCCAATTTTGCCAATATTCAAACTAAACCTCTCCTTGCACAGCTTGGGGTTGTTCCCACTCATCCTGTCCCTTGTTCCCTGGCTGTCCCCTCCTGTCCTAGTGGGGTCCCCACTGGTAAATCCCCCCCAGGGATGGAAATTCCAGCCTTTTCTAGGAAGGAATTTTGCCAATTTTGCCAATATTCAAACTAAACCTGCCCTGGCACAGCTTTCATCTTGTCCCCTGTTCCCTGGCTGTCTCCTCCTGTCCTAGTGGGGGTCCCTACTCGTAAATCCCCCCCAGGATGGAAATTCCAGCCTTTTCCAGGAAGGAATTTTGTCAATATTCAAACTAAACCTCCCCTGGCACAGCTTTCATCATGTCCCCTGTTCCCTAGCTGTCCCCTCCTGTCCTTGTAGGGGACTCCACTGGTAAATTCCCCCCAGGGACGGAAATTCCAGCCTTTTCCAGGAAGGAATTTTGCCAATTTTGCCAATATTCAAACTAAACCTCTCCTTGCACAGCTTGGGGTTGTTCCCACTCATCCTGTCCCTTGTTCCCTGGCTGTCCCCCCCTGTCCTAATGGGGTCCCCACTGGTAATTTCCCCCCAGGGATGGAAATTCCAGCCTTTTCCAGGAGGGAATTTTGCCAATTTCCAAGCTAAACCTCCCCTGGCACAGCTCTAATCCTGTCCCCTGTTCCCTGGCTGTCCCCTCCTTTCCTAGTGGGGTCCCCACTGGTAAATCCCCCCAGGGATGGAAATTCCAGCTCTTTCCAGGAAGGAATTTTGCCAATTTTGCCAATATTCAAACTAAACCTCTCCTGGCACAGTTTGGGTTGTTCCCACTCATCCTGTCCCTTTTCCAGGAAGGAATTTTGCCAATGTCCAAGCTAAACCTCTCCTGGCACAGCTCTCATCCTGTCCCTTGTTCCCTGGCTGTCCCCTCCTGTCCTAGTGGGGTCTCCACTGGTAAATCCCCCCCAGGGATGGAAATTCCAGCTTTTTCCAGGAAGGAATTTTGTCAATTTTGTCAATATTCAAACTAAACCTCTCTTGTCACAGTTTGGGGTTGTTCCCACTCATCCTGTCCCTTGTTCCCTGGCTGTCCCCCCCTGTCCTAATGGGGTCCCCACTGGTAATTTCCCCCCAGGGATGGAAATTCCAGCTTTTCCAGGAAGGAATTTTGCCAATTTTGTCCCTTGTTCCCTGGCTGTCCCCTCCTATCCTAGTGAGGTCCCCGCTGGGTAATAATTAGCATTGATTCTATGATTGCAGCAGGTTGATTAATTATTTTATTGCACTATACTATATTATACTAACTACACTTTAATAGACAGTGTGATACAGTCTTTGAAAAATCTAAACACTATCGCTAGTGTCTAATTAAGAAATCACTTTTTGGTAACCAAATCTCTGTAACAGGTGCAGCAAGTGAAGACAAAAATTGTTTCTCCTTTTCTCTGAGCTTTCTCACAGCTTCCCAGGAAAATCCAGGGAAAGCTGTGTCTGTCTCTGTCCAGAAAATGTGATTGCCACACCTTCCTGCCAGGGAGCCACAAGGTCCCCATTTGTCCAACGTGAAAAATCTTCCTACAAATCCATTTCCCACACCCCTGAGCCCCTTTTCCCAGCCCCTGGACACCAACTCCTCGATATCTTCACATGACAAACCCAACCCTGTGCCAGGACTGGGGTGTGACCCCATTCCTGTCCCGGGGGTGACACAAATCTGTTCCCTTCCAGCACATTCCGTGTTCGCCCGGGGCATCGCCGCAGCTGGCGGCCGCTTCGTCTGCGTGGGTGAGCCCGTGGCGTGGGCAGGGTGCCAGCGTGGGCTGGCCCGGCCCTGCTGACCCCCTGACCCCACAGGGACATCCTTTGGGGCCGTGCTGGTGTTTGACATCCCCCCAAAAGGGACCAACGTGACGCTGAGCCAGGTCCTGGAGCAGCACCGGGATCCCGTCACCGACATCGCGGCCGAGCAGGGCCAGGCCCCGGTATGGGGGGAGAGGGACGCCCCAAATCTCGTCAGTCCCACAGGGATCCTTCTGCTATCCCAGGTGGCTCCATCCTGGCCTTGGGCACTTCCAGGGATCCAGGAGCAGCCTCGGCTTCTCTGGGCAGCCAAAATCCCACCCAAATCTCCCCTTCTCCTGTGTCCTGTCACGTCATCCTTTGTCCCAAATTCCTCCCATCTCTCCTGGAACCACCTCAGGCACTGGGAGCTCACAGGGCAGGTCCCTGCAGACTCACCAGCCGCTTTCCTCCCACTCAGCACTTTCCCTGATGAGTCACTGAGCTTCCCTTGCTCTGGGATCCCCAAGGAATTCATCCCCCACATCCCATTCCCGAGCTGCCGTGTCACCGTGGGGACACGGAGCTGCCGTGTCACCTCCCGCTGCCGCCTGTCCCCTCACACACCCCCTGGACTGTGCTCCGAGGGTTCCCTGGGCTGCACTGGGACATTCCCAGGAGCTGGGAATCCTCAGGGAGGGAGGGGTGCCATGATTCTTCCTCGAAATCCACCCTGGCGTGGCAGCGTGGGCAGAGACGAGTTCCAACCCGCTCCGGCCGGGACCCGTCAGCACTCCAGGAGCTGTTCCAGCTTGTCCTGGCGCCCGTGGGACTGTGCCCAGTGCCATCCCAGAGCTGGGGACAGTGCCCAGAGCTGGGGACAAGTGCCATCTCTCCCCACAGGACGGGGCTGGGGACCTGGTGACAGCTGATGACTCCGGGACCCTCTGCCTGTGGAGCAGCGGGGAGGAGTTCACCCTGCTGGGGAAGATCCCGGGATCTGGGTGAGCCCCTCGTGTTGGACACGAGGGAGGGGACACCGCTGAGGTGGTGACACGTGGCCCTGTGTCCAGCTGCACCTGCTCCTCGGTGGCGCTGTGGAACGGGGTCGTGGCTGCGGGCTACGGGAACGGGCAGATCCGGCTGTGGGAAGCAGGGTCGGGGCAGATCCGTGCCCAGGTGAGCGCCCACGCCCGCTGGATCTACGCGCTGGACCTGGCACCGCTCACCGGCAAGGTACGGAGGGGACAGGGGTCACACCCGGTGTCACACCCGGTGTCACACCTGGGGTCACACCTGGTGTCACACCTGGTGTCACACCTGGGGTCACACCTGGCGTCACATCTGGTGTCACACCTGGTGTCAAACCTGGGGTCACACCTGGCGTCACATCTGGTGTCACACCTGGCATTGCACTCAGCGTCCCACGCTGACATCCTGACCAGTATCCCAACCTGAAATCCACCTGGCATTTCAACCTGGAATTCCATCCTGACATCCTACCTGGCATTCCAGCCTGAAATCCCAACCTGGAATTCTATCCTGACATCCCACCTGGCATTCCAACCTGAAATCCCAACCTGGAATTCCATCCTGACATCCCACCTGGCATTCCAGCCTGAAATCCCAACCTGGAATTCCATCCTGACATCCCACCTGGCATTCCAGCCTGAAATCCCAACCTGGAATTCCATCCTGACATCCCACCTGGCACTCCAACCTGGCATTCCAACCTGAAATCCCAACCTGGAATTCCATCCTGACATCCCACCTGGCACTCCAACCTGAAATCCCAACCTGCATCCCACTCTGCCATTCCAATCTGCCATCCCCACCCCAGTATCCCAACCTGGCATCCCAGTCTGAATTCCAACCTGAAATCCCACCCTGGCATTCCATCCTGACATCCTACCTGTCATTCCAACCTAAAATCCCAACCTGCATCCCACCCTGACATCCCACCTGGCACTCCAACCTGAAACCCAGCCTGACATTCCAACCTAAAATCCCAACCTGGCATTCCAACCTGAAACCCAGCCTGACATTCCAACCTAAAATCCCAACCTGACATTCCAACCTGAAATCCCAACCTGCATCCCACTCTGGCATTCCAATCTGCCATCCCCACCCCAGTATCCCAACCTGGCATTCCAACCTGACATTCCAACCTGAAATCCCAACCTGACATCCCACCTTGAATCCCACCCTGAATCCCACCTGGCATTCCAACCTGAAATCCCATCCTGACATCCCACCTGGCATTCCAACTGAAATCCCACCCCGGTGTCCCATCCTGCCAATGGCCCTGCCAGCTCCGTGCTGTCCCCACGGTCCCCTCTGTCCCCTCGCAGCTGCTGTCGGGTGCAGAGGATTCCTTTGTCCACGTCTGGAAGCTCAGCAGGGACCCGGACACGGATGACATCGAGGTGAGTCCGGGCTTGGGGACAAAGGGACGAGGGGCCACGGGACTTGGGGACAAAGGGACAGGGAGGTGGCGCTGGGAGCTGCTGGAATCGCTGTCCCCGGCTCCGGCCGCAGGTGCAGCACTGCCACGCCGAGTGCGTGACGGACACGCAGGTTTGTGGCGCTCGTTTCTGCGACCCCGCCGGGGACACCTTCGCTGTCACCGGCTACGACCTGAGCGAGATCCTCTGCTACGGCCCCGCCTGAGCCGCGGCTGACACCGGGAATGCTGCCCGAAGCCTTCCCGAGGGTTGGGAGCTGCTGCAGCATCCCCGAGGGGATCCTCCCGTGGCTGCCACCGGCTCCGGGATCCTCCCGTGGCTGCCGCCCTTCCCGGAGGGTGGCGTGGCTGGGAACGGGCCCGGTTCAGACGGGAGGATCCCGGCAAACCTGTGCTACCGGCTGCTCCGGCCGGGAGAGCCCCAGCGTCTGCCAGCCGCGGCTACCGGGGTGAGGAAAAACGGGGGACATGGGGGGTCCTGCCCCCCGACCCCCTCCAGATCCCAAATCCCCGCGGGATGCTGCACTCCCATGGCCGCTGGCCAGATGTTTGAGGCTCCAGCTGTGCTGCGGGGCTGGAAACGGCAGCACAGCTGCAGTGGGACCCCAGGGACGTCCCCAGGTCCCCTCCAGCCCCCCTGACTGTCCCTGACCCCCCCATGGGAGATGAGGTGACCCCAGGCTCTGCTCCCAGGGCCCTGCGAGGCTGGAGGGGGAAATGGGGGGCCCTGATGTGGGGGAACCCCCCACCCCTCCCCTCCTGCCGTGACGGGGATCTCCCCCTCCCACCCTCTAGGTCCCACTCGTGTCCCCTCAATGTGTGGGTTAAGTCTCCCCACATCTGTTCCCCACCCCCCAATAAATACACCCCAGTGAAGCCCCCCCGTGTCACTCCTTCCCGGGGGGCAGGGTTTGCCTGTTGGGGGGCACAGCAGGGTCGGGGGGCTCAGCAGGGTCTGGGGGGGCTCAGCAGGGTCGGGGGTCTCAGCAGAGTCCGGCTCCGTTACAAAAAGCTTTATTAAAGGTTAAAACAGCCGCTGCTGAGGTGGGGCAGGGGGGACCCCGGGGCCTGGGGGGACCCCGCTGTGCTCCTGGGGTAAAAAAGTGTAAAAACGGTTGTGCAGTTCAGCCCGGGGTGGGGACACATCCCGGGACAAGCGACAATGGCACAGCCCAGGACAGGGACAATGACACCCCCCCCGGGCTGTGTCCCGGCCAAGGCACAGAGATGAGCACCCAGGGACCCCCTCCCCACGCCCACCCCCCACCCACCCCGCCCTGCTCACAGCTTGGCCCCCCCCGCCCCACGGTGGGGGAGGGGGGGAAGAGAAAAACAGCACCAGAGAGCCCCACGGGGGTGGGGACCCCCCCCAAAAAGAAAGGGGGAGCGGCACCCCCAGCCCCAAATACTGCTCGGTCAGAGGTAGCACCCTGCGGGGGGGAGGGGGCTCAGCACGACCCCCTCCCCACCGGGGAAAGGCACGGTGGGACCGGGGTGGGGGGCTACGACCCGGCAGAGCCTGTAAACAGCCAGGGTGGGGGGTAAACAAGCCCTTGGAGACCCCCACCCTGGCCAAGCCCCCTGGTTCAGTGGGGGGGGGGTCCCAGGGTCTGACCCCTCTGTTCAGTGTGGGACCCCTGGAGCTGAGGGTGGGGGTCCTGAGCCCCTCAGCCCAGCACAGGGACCCCCCCAAGCCCTTCATGGGAGCCCTGGGCCCAAGCCCCCCACCCCACACAGGGACCCCCAGCCCAGCTGAGCCCCCCAGCCCTTTATAAAAACCCCAAACCCCTCACTCCCCACAGGGACCCCCAGCCCAGCTGAGCCCCCCAGTCAAGTGTGGGGTCCCGGGGCCAGCACAGAGACCCCCAACCCAGCTAAACCCCCCAACCCCGACCCCCAACTCACCACAGGGACCCCCAGCCCAGCTGAGCCCCCCAATCCTACACGGGGATACCGGGGCCGAACTCCCTGCTCAGCACAGGGGCTCCCAGCCCCACACGGGGGTCCCTCCCCGAGCCCCCCACCCCTCTCAGGCCACGGGGGGCGAGGGTCTCCAGAAGCACCACTTGCTGCGGGGGTGCTGCTTGCGCTGGAGCTGCTCCTCACGCTCCCGCTCCTTCTTGGAGCGCAGGTACAGATCCTCCTCCTTCAGGTACCACACCGGGGGCCAGCGGTGCCGCTCGAAGTGCGCCTGGTTCTCTGTGGGGACACCTCGGGGATCAGGGCACGGCTTGGGTGACACGACACCCCCCTCCCCGTGTCCCCCCAGTGTCCCCCAGTACCCACCTGGGGACATGAACTTCATCTCGCGGGGGAAGCGGCGGCACACGCGGTTGTAGTTGGTGCAGATGTAGTGCAGGCACCACGCGGCCAGCTGATGGGCGTTGTGGAACTGGGGGTGGCGGGGATTTTTGGGGGGTGGTCACCCCATCATCCAGCAGTCTGTGTGCCCCCCTACCTCCCCTCTCCAGCCCCCCATACCTGCGTCATCTCCAGGTAGATGATGACCTGCTCATCGATCTCCACGCGCTGCACGAAGGCTCGCAGCAGTTCATCCACGGCGTATTGCTCTGGGAGAGGGGGGACACGGGGGTTCACGGGGTTGGGGGGTCACACAGCGGGGATGTACCCCCTCCCTGAGACCAGCGGGACCCCCCCACGCGGTTACATAAAGCACTGGGATGATCAATCAATCGATCAATCCGTCCCCGCGGCACCGGCAGGGTATTGGAAGTGACGTCAGGGCTGCGGGGGGATACCGGGAGGGGATACCGGGGGAACCGGGGGAGGCTCACCGGTGAGCGCCTGCAGCCGCGGCAGGCACAGCCGGTCCGTGAGGATGAGCAGCTCCATGGCGTCCAGGTCGGGCGTGGGGGTGAAGACCCCCGTGTAGAGGAAATCCAGGACGGCGCGCAGGCAGGCGCAGTTGGTGCCGGGCAGGGACACCTATAGGATCGGGGAGGGTTTGGGGGGGATTCAGAGCCCCCCCAAATAGGGCTGGGGGAAAAAGGGGACCCTCCTGGCAGTGCCTGAGCTGGCACAGCCCTGGAATAACCCCCACAACTCAGGACAGCTCCCAGCTTTCTCCTCTAGAAGTAGGACACGCGTGTGCCCGGGCCAGGGGGTCTGAGCTGCCCCCTGACCCCAAGCAGCGATGCCCACCCTGCCCCACAGAGCCACGGTGCCCTCCTGGTGCCCACCTCGCCGGCGTAGCTCTCGCGGAAGCCCCCTCGGAACATGGCCCTCATCCAGTCGCAGCCGGCGATGAGCAGCGGCTTGTGCGCCGGCACCGCCCCGTCGTCCACGCGGAACACCACGTCTGGGGACAGGGGACAGCTCAGGGGGGGGACAGCCACCCCTCAGATAGCCCTTGTCCTCCCCAGCCCGGGGGCAGCCTCTCCTTGGACACAGGAGACCAGGGACAGCCACCCCTTGAGCACCACTGCCTTGGGGACAAGAATCCCTTGGATATCCCTTCCATGGGGACACCACTGCCCTGGGGACAAGAATCCCTCCGACACCCCTTCCATGGGGACACGAATCCCTTGGACACCACTTCCATGGGGACACCTCTGCCTTGGGGACAGCCACCCCTTCCATGGGGACACCACAGCCTTGGGGACAGCCACCCCTTGGACACCCCTTCAATGGGGACACCACTGCCTTGGGGACAGCCACTCCTTGGACACCCCTTCCATGGGGACACCACTGCCTTGGGGACAAGAATCCCTTGGACACCCCTTCCATGGGGACACCTCTGCCTTGGGGACAGCCACCCCTTCCATGGGGACACCACTGCCTTGGGGACAAGAATCCCTTGGACACCCCTTCCATGGGGACACCACTGATTTGGGGACAGCCACCCCTTGGACACCCCTTCCATGGGGACACCTCTGGTTTGGGGACAGCCACCCCTTGGACACCCCTTCCATAGGGACACCACGGCCTTGGGGACAAGAATCCCTTGGACACCCCTTCCATGGGGACACCTCTGCCGTGGGGACAGCCACCCCTTCCATGGGGACACCTCTGATTTGGGGACAGCCACCCCTTCCATGGGGATACATCTGCCTTGGGGACAGCCACCCCTTGGACGCCCCTTCCATGGGGACACCACTAATTTGAGGACAGCCACCCCTTCCATGGGGACACCACTGCCTTTGGGACAGCCACCCCTTCCATGGGGACACCTCTGCCCTGGGGACAAGAATCCCTTGGACACTCCTTCCATGGGGACACCACTGCCTTGGGGACAAGAATCCCTTGGACACCCTTTCCATGGGGACATCACTGCCTTGGGGACAAGAATCCCTTGGACACCCCTTCCATGGGGACATCACTGATTTGGGGACAGCCACCCCTTCCATGGGGACACCACTGCCGTGGGGACAGCCACCCCTTGGACACCCCTTCCATGGGGACATCACTGCCTTGGGGACAGCCACCCCTTCCATGGGGACACCACTGCCTTGGGGACAGCCACCCCTTGGACACCCTTTCCATGGGGACACCACTGCCTTGGGGACAGCCACCCCTTGGACACCCCTTCCATGGGGACACCTCTGCCTTGGGGACAGCCACTCCTTGGACACCCCTTCCATGGGGACATCAGTGCCTTGGGGACAGCCACCCCTTCCATAGGGACATCACTGCCTTGGGGACAAGAATCCCTTGGACATCCCTTCCATGGGGACACCACTGCCTTGGGGACAGCCACCCCTTGGACACCCCTTCCAAGGGGACATCACTGCCTTGGGGACAGCCACTCCTTGGACACCCCTTCCATGGGGACATCAGTGCCTTGGGGACAGCCACCCCTTCCATGGGGACACCACTGCCTTGGGGACAAGAATCCCTTGGACACCCTTTCCATGGGGACACCACTGCCATGGGGACAACCACCCCTTGGACACCCCTTCCATGGGGACACCACTGCCTTGGGGACAGTCACCCCTTGGACACCCCTTCCATGGGGACACCTCTGATTTGGGGACAGCCACTCCTTCCATGGGGACACCACTGCCTTGGGGACAGCCACCCCTTGGACACCCCTTCCATGGGGACACCACTGCCCTGGGGACAAGAATCCCTTGGACACCCCTTCCATGGGGACACCACAGCCCAGAACTGCCACCACCCCAGCAGCACCTCCATGACCGACCAGGACAGGACCCCAGAAGGTGCCACCATCTGGAGATGACAGCGATGACCCTCCTGTCCCCACAACCCCCCATACCTGCGAAGACCCCCTTGGCCAGGCACTCCTTGACGCGGTTGGCGCGGCGCACGTGGAAGGCCTTGGTGATCTCCTGGTTCATGAAGCTCTCCTGGTTGAGCTCGTTGGCCACCATCATGCGCAGGTCGAACACCTCCAGCAGCTCCGCCACGGCGCCCACCTGCCTCAGGTCACCGTGGTGCCGCTCCAACTTCCCGGTGTACAAATATTCCAGCACGGCGCGGAGCGGCTCCGGCCTCACGCCGCCATCCATGGCCACCACCGCCATCCGCCGCTCCCGCCCTGCCACCGGGTCGGCCACCGCCTCCCAGCGCAGGCTCAGGAAGCCACGACCCCACGATGACAGGTCACGGGTGTCCCCATCCCCTTGGCTGAGGGTCTCGGGGGGCGTCTCCGTCGTGAAGAGATCATAGAAGCGCGAGCAGGCGGTGGCCAGGTAGACGCGGTGGGCGAAGACGCGATGGCCGCCGTGCAGTTGGAAGACGACATCGGCGCAGAGCGGCGCTTGGAACAGCGCTGCCGGACCCCCGCCCAGCCCGGGGGGCGCCTCGGGCACCTGGATGAGGGGTGGGGGTGGTTTGGGGGGCAGGAAGGGCGCCTGCAGCAGCGGGCGCTGCATCTTGCGCAGGTGGGACTTCCA